TGCGATTTCAATGCATTTTCGGCCTTAAAGCGGCCGCCATTTGGCTATCGTTAATGGGATCATGAAACAAATGCACATACATATTTGTGACATGATGTACCTTGTGTGTGTGAAGTTTGAACTTGATCAATCCAGACATGTCTCGGATACGGATCCAGAACTGAATTCTTTAAAACAAAATGGCCGCCAGTCGGCCATTTCGAACTTGATCCGAAAAAAAAAATGACGTGCATCAAGGTCCTATTATGTTTAATGTATGTACCAAATTTGAACGAAATCCGTCCATGCATAACTGAGATCCGGGTCCGGAATGGTGAAAATGTGTGATTTTGATGCATTTTCGGCCTTAAAATGGCCGCTATTCGGCTATCGTTAATCGGGTCATGAAAAAAATGCATGTGCATATGTCCCATATAATGTGTGATGTATGAGTGAAGTTTGAACATAATCGGTCCATGCATGTTCGAGATACAGGTGATCACGAACGGACGCACGGACGGACGGACGCACACAGGGCAAAACATAAGTCCCCGTTTTCGGACTCCGTCCGAACGGGGACTAATAATGCAGTGGTGTGGACAAGTAAACTACAGCAGGGAAATACAACTTTTTATTGCATCATGTTTTAACACTAATCTTTTATCGTCTGTTGCAAGGCTTTGCAGATTCTCATAAGAGCATCAACTTTTGTTGCCCACACTGTTGCCACATTTTTGTCAAATGACATTGTCATAATACACGGCACTCTGCCATTTTGTTTTGAAAAATTAACCCAGCATGCAACTAGAAACAGGAAAAGAGTGCGCTCAAGTCGCCAATTTCAAGTTTGGCCATTAAAAGATGCGCATTAAAATGTGGTTGTCGCATTACTGAAAAGCATTATTTTTATTTGGCCTATGTAAAAGTATGCATTCAAATATATCACATTGACATACTGTAGAATACTTTATTTTAGCTGGAATTAATTTTCGCTGAAAAGGCTTTTGGCGTTTTTTGTATGAAATTTATTTTCACTGATTTTTGAATGTAAAATATAGGAATACAAGTATATTCGCTGGATTTTATTTTCACTGAACCATTCCTCCAGCGAAAATTAAGTATTTTACAGTACATGTATGCATGATGTTACTTCCCATATTACGGTATCAACTATTACCAGGGTAATTTATTCAAACGAGGGCGTCATCACCTACGCATGCGTCAGATGGACAAAGAATGTCAATGTTTACAAACAATTCCGAACAGCCTTTGCGTTTTTAGCATGTTATTATCATTGCTTGGGACTCGATTCCCGCTTGTGCGCAGGTGACGACCCTCCCGCGTTAAGACTGAAGCAAAGTATTCATTGCAACAAGACTGAAACTGTTAGCAAATTTACATAGTGGATTGCGATAGGAAACAAAACTGAAGCATAAACCAAAAATATATACAATGCATTACAGATACAGCAGATACCCTTGGATCACGTGTTCATAGGTAATTAACTCCGCCTCTGTCCAATAAGTGAGTAAATGCTTATTATGCTCGCTTACTAGAACTGTGATTGACAGGCATTTTGCATACATTAGCTGCCATTTTCACCTTAGGATTTTTAGTTTTTAGTTACAACCAAAAACAACATTTATACATCAAAAGCCCAACCAGATGAGTGTAAACGATGTGAGCGGCTTGGTTCGAATTAGCATACTAATTGCAGTGGCCATCTTGCCCCTATTTATAGTATCGGTTCCCCTTTAACACAAGCTGTAGCTTTATTTCAATGCTCACACTGGGATGAGCTGTACCATCCAAACCGTGTTGGTGTCAGTTGATTTTACTCAATATACAGAAAAACAAATCTTTTTTGGCAATATAGTTTAACTAAAAGAGCTACACTAAAATAATTTCAGTGAAAACCAAGAATTTGTCAACAAGATTGCTGTGGATGTTGTAAGATTACCTACTTTACTTCAAAATATTTTCCAATTACCTGCGGACCTTGTGTAAAGTCCCGACATATTTACACACATACAAATAATACAGTCTTGGCGGTTTTCACTGTAAGTATGAGAAATTTCAGAAAAATCAAGATGCATTTAATCCAGCAATAAGACAATTCATTGAGATTGTTCTACTGTAGCTATGGTAAATTATACAAAAGTCAATTTATTCATGAATCTAATTCTCTGAAAATAGCACGTGTTACATTATCATAGTAAAAACAGTCCGGGTATTAACGTGTTGCCCATCTACATATTAGCATTAACAGTAACATTACTGTTTCTGCCTCAGTCAAAACAATCCTTCTTTCTTGATGCCATACATACAAACTGTTGCCCCCTGAGCCCCCCCCCCCCCACCATTTATTATTGCATATATATATATATCCACCGTGTTTATAACATCTAACGATTGTGTTAATGTGAATTGGAAGAATCTTTGATGTGTTTTCTAATCATGTCCTCCAACTTGACCGAATCAATGGCAAATTTCCGAATCCCTTCAGCGAGTTTCTCCACTGCCATAGCATCCTCATTGTGTAACCAGCGGAATTTCTTCTCATCCAAGTGAACTTTTTCAATGTCAGCTGCTTGAGCTGTGAAGAGAAAAAAAAACATGGATATTGTCAATTGAACTATTATGCCTTATGGAACAAATTACAACACAGGACAGAATGACAAAACCATGCCTTGTACATGCTAACTGCAGGGACACTTGTCATGTATACTCACAACAGGTGCTACATAAGCAAACTAAACAAGTCATGCATGGCTCAGTCCCTGCTAGTTATCAAATTTAAGATATATAGTTTTGTTTATAGTATAGTTGGAATATAACCATGTCAGGAATATGAATATGAATATGATGATTGTTTAACATTAAAATGATTGACATGGGAATCTGACCGTCAAACAAGTACTTGTTGAGAGATATTGCTCTAGAACAGCATTAATTAAAACAAAATCAGCCATTTTGAATACATGTATATATCTATAACATGATGTATAATGAATATATAAAATTTGAACATAATCAGTCAAAGCATGTCAGAGATATGGCTCTAGAAGCCCAATCATTAAAACAAAATGGCCACCAGTCAGTCATTTTGAATCCGATCTGAAAAATAACATGACGTGCATGTAATGTCTAACGTATGTTATAAGTTTGAACAAAATCCATTCATAAATGCAAAAAATACTTGATATTTGATGATTTTTAGCACAAAAATGGCCACCATTCGGCCACTTTGAATATGATCGTCAAACCAATATATCTGTATATCTATGACAAAATGTATAATGAATATTTAAAATTTGAATATAATCAAAACAAGTCAGAGATATGACACGAGAACAACATTCATTAAAACAAAATGGCCGCTAGTCGGCCATTTTAAATCTTATCTAAAAAACAAAATTTTTTGCATCAAGGCCCCATAATGACTAATGTATATACCAAGTTTGAACAAAATTCATCTGTAAATAGCCGAGAAATGCTTGATTTTGATGATTTTTTAGCACAAAAATGGCTGCCATTCGGTCATCTTAATCAGATCTTGAAACAAATTGCTGTGCATATGTATAATATCATTTATGATGTAGGTGTGAAGTTTGATTATGATTGGTCCAGGCATTTTTGAGATACACGTCGGACGTACGCATACACGCACGCACAAGGGTAAAAACATAAATCCCGTTTTCAGACTGTGTCCGAACGGGGACTAAAAAAAATTGAACTATGTGATCAAACTAAGAAATTTTGAACTACCAGCGCTGTTTTAGTTTTGTTTAAAAATGAAGACAGGTAGACCATAACGGCCAACATGACTCTTAAATTATGTGTTGGCCTATATTCATTATTGTAGTAAATGAAATATAGGGTTTGTCTCAGGCGGATTTATCCTAGTCTTTTTGTATATTATTAAAATGAGTTGTTGAATATATACATGTATGTCATAACTAAATCATACTCTGCTTCGTTATTCTTTTTCAACAATAGTACATTTTCTTGTGCTATATTGGTCGGTCAAAACAAGTTTGTTTGTCATCCACATGTAACTTGCATAGAATGAAATATGGAAATTGCAAATCCTTATTTAATCTACCTTGATATTGGCCATCACACTGGTTCACATTTCGCACAGTAACTGGTTAGCAAAAACCAGTTGTTCACGTCAGAAGATTAAACGTTATGGTTTTTCACTTCTGTTGTTGTTAAAATATGTAGATTGCAAGCTAGTACCGATCAGTGAGTGACAATTTTATTTGACATTGGCACGCTAGTTTGCAAATGTAAATGAATGACATCCATATGGCAACCCCAGAAGCACCTAAACTGTGGTCCATGTGTATAATGTATGGTGAAACGACAACACCTGACACCAGGTGCACCTAAACTGTGGTCCATGTGTATAATGTATGGTGAGACGACAACACCTGAGACACTAGGTGCACCTAAACCGTGGTCCACGTGTAGAATGTATGGTGAGACGACAACACCTGACATCAGGTGCACCAAAACTGTGGTCCACGTGTAGAATGTACGGTGAGACGACAATACCTGACACTAGGTGCACCTAAACTGTGGTCTATGTGTATAATGTACAGTGAAACGACAACACCTGACACCAGGTGCACCTAAACTGTGGTCCACGTGTAGAATGTATGGTGAGACGACAACACCTGACATCAGGTGCACCTAAACTGTGGTCCACGTGTAGAATGTATGGTGAGACGACAACACCTGACATCAGGTGCACCAAAACTGTGGTCCACGTGTAGAATGTACGGTGAGACGACAATACCTGA